CATCTGTCATCTGCACCACCTTTCTCAGCCTTGCTTATGGCCGTTGGGAATAAGTTGTTATGTTATGTTATATTCTGGTGTTTAAGCATGGGTGTCTCTGAGAAACAAGGTGACCTTTGGTCTTGACTTTGCTGACCAGCAGTCTGGTACATAATCCCTTGTTGTTCAGCTGAGTGCAGGGATTTCTGCTTGCCTAATGGCTGACACTGGAGATGTGGTGCTGTATTGCCCCATTGAATCAGCAGGGCATTTATGGAAAGGATTGGATGTGCCAGGGCTGGAGACAGGAGAACTGTAGAGTTTGAGATGTAAAAGGGTTCCTCAGCAGACTGGGAAGACAATGCCTTAAAAACAGGAAGAAAATTACTTCTCGTGTTTTACCAGTAGTTACTTTCTTCCATGGTGAGACCAGTTCTGCTGCGTGACTATGTCTGTTGAAAGTGACACATGCTGGAACTTGAGTCTGTCTAAATTTGGCTTTCTTGACTTTCTGGCACAGTTTAGTGGACCAGCAGAGGAGAAGCTGAAACATGCAACTGCCACTTTCTGCAGTAACCAGCCCTTTGCTCTAGAGGTCATCAAGTCGCGGCAGAAGAAGGACTCTCGCTTCCAGACTTTCGTGCAGGTGAATTTTATGCAAGGATTTGAGCTGCCTGAGGTTGTGGCTGGTGGCCAGCATAGCGTAATGAATGGTTGTAGATAAAGTTATTATAATTAATGACATCATGTCTAATATTGTCTTCAGGTTGGGATCATTTCCAAAACTGTATTTATCTCTGCTAATAGTTTCTGGAGGGAGGAGCCTTTCATTCTGGGGAACACAGAATGTCCTGATAGAATGCAGGAAAGTACATGCTGTCCCAGGCAGGAGGTGGCATCTCAGTTGAGGTGGCTGTTTCCCAAGGATGAGTACTTCTGTGGGGAAAAGTGCTTAAAGTATTGCAGTTTTGATGCATGCCATGGGCAGAAGACAGATGATATACACCTATTCTGACTGCCAGGAAGAAGGGGGCTTGAATACATGTGGCATTTGGAGGAGAGAACATTATTTTCATTACCACAGGCTGGGAAGAACTCCGGTAATACGAGGGTTGAGGTTATATTGAGAAATGTACTTCAGCTTTGCTGGAGCGCGAAAGCCTAAACTGATGTCCTCCCTGTATGGTGGTGACTGAGATTGATTGGAGATGGTACCAGGGCTCTGTGAAGTAATGAGGGAAGGAAGCCACTGCTTTTGTGATGAGCCTTTCCTATATGTAACTGCAAATGGAGAGGGGATGTGTTGTCTGAATGATAGATTTGGGCATTTCTTGTCTTGTATTTAATTACTGGAAAGTGAAGTAATAGACATTTATGTGATGAATAGATGTTACACGTTCAGGTAATTATAGTCTTAATAAAAATGACAAATGTTGTTATTGTGCTGTTTAATTTTAGGATGCTGAGAGTAATCCACTGTGTCGCCGGTTGCAGCTGAAGGATATCATTCCCACAGAGATGCAGAGGTTGACTAAGTACCCCCTTCTGCTGGATAACATTGCTAAGTACACAGGTAAAGCCTTTCCACTAGGGTTTGTGCATGCATCTCAGCTGCTCTTCTAGGCAAATGTGTGATTTCAAAGCATGTGTTGAAGAACTGTTCAGTTTTATGGGTCACTATCTGTTCTCATTGTGACCTTGCTGCTGCCTTCCACATAGGAGGACAGGTTAAAATAAATAAATAAATAAATAAATCCAGTCTTTGCTTCTAAATTAAATTCGTTTTCCTTCTTAGGAAAATAAAAAGGACATTCAATGTGAAGTAAGTGAATGACAGTCTGCATAGGGTTGTAGTGTATGTAGACTGCAATACAATCATTTAAATGTGGTTTTAAAAACTTAGAAGGGAATGCTAAACTTTTGAAGATAAATCAAACCACTCTGCTTATGAAAGTTACTGGCAAAACAACTTGATTTGCTATGAGTTTTTTGAAGAAGAAAACCAGGAATTCCCAACTATCTCTTCTCCACCATCCATTTCCTAGCCTGTTTCTTAGTTTTACACTATTACTGTTATTAACAGTTTATAATGATTATGACAACCAAATGGAAGTGAAGAAAATATTTTCTCTGCGCCCTTATATTTCTGATTGTATAAGAGTGTGTGATAATGTCAATAGTTGGAATTACATTCAGAAGAAAAAGAAATAGAGGAGAAAGAGTGGGTATGGTGTAACTCCTTCCTTAGTACATGCTCTTAGCAACCAAAACTTTAGGAATTTACGAGAGGCAAGTTACATCTGTGCTATTGTTTTGAATAGTCATTAGCATGCCTGTTCTTTCTAGATATATTTAACTCCTTTCTCTAATCTTGAAGAAGGAAATAGCTAGGAAGAATTCAATCACTAAAGATGATACTCAATTTGTTTCAATAAATTGGTTTTCAATGGTAAATATGCTCTGATAAACATATTTTTTCTTGAATTCAGGACATTAAGATAGCTAGATCAAATTATTAAGAGAAACCCATTTAAGTGAATTCCCATTTCCATGTTGATGCATTTGAGAGAAAAAGAATAAGATCTTCAATAACAGAAGTCCCTAATTGTCCATTACTAACGTAAAAATGTGAACAACGAAGAATAATAAAAACCTGTAAAGTTATGCTATTGCTTAAACAAACTTGGATAGACATAGAGCATACTTCTGAGCAAGAAAGAGAAAATGGAAAGTATTATAAAACCTAAGCAAAAATCATGTGGCGTTAAGGTTTATAGCAAATCAACATGTTTCTCTAAGAAGAGAACAAAAACCAGATAATACAGAACAAATTGATTTTTTTTAAGGTCAAAGTTTTCTTGTTATCAACCAAGGATGTTTGTTTTGGTTTTGTTGTTTTTTTTTTTTTTTAAATCAATTCTCAGTACTATTTGTTCAAAATTCCCAATATCTGGGAAAAATGCGTGCTCAGAGTGCAGTCTGACCTACACCCCTAAAGTCTGATATAAAACAAGCTTCATATAAAAATCTTGTATGTTATCAATATAATGTCAACTAGGAATTTGAAGCAGATTGAACTTGGCAAGAAATACTTTCCTACACAATAGACACCAACAGAATCTTAATGTAGCCTTGCTTCCTCATCTGTTGCATCTCTAAAGCACTACAGAATGTTTCTGTGTTCTTGCAGAAGGTGGAGTTTAGCTAGGATGTGTTACACCAAAAGATATTTCCAGCATAACAGGTGAAAATATGATTAATAATACCACAAAATACTTTTTCAGGTTTATTACTGTTACCTTCTGCAGCGTAATTTGGTTACTCATAAAAAAAATGTACTGCATTTACAAGTTCACTGTGATCATAATTAGGAAAGCGTGCGGTACTCCATTATCCTTGATGTACTTGTTTATTTGCCTGTTAACTAGATTCCTAATGTGACTGTGGTAGTGAGAATTGATGAGGTTCACCTATGTCTATCTGTCTATGATCTAGTGACACTGGCTGGAAAGATAACTCTTGTTTGCTCTTGCTGTAATGGAAGACTGATTTTTATAATCAGACTGCATGAACGTAGCCACAGATGCTTTTTTCTCAAGCGGTTCAAATAAATACAGCTATCTAGATGGAAAAGGTTATTATGTAACACTTTTTAAAAAATATATATATTTTGCTTTATGTTTCTTTGCCTGTTTCTTCCTCTTCCAAAATAAATAAACAAAAAGGATTGGGAGAAATGCGGTAGTCAGTTGCTGGATCCTGGGACTTTGGCTAGCTGACTGAGTGTGATTTTAGATATCTACCCCAAGACTCTTTGTACCACAGTGCAGTCTTAGTAAACCCCTTAGATTTCCCAGATAGATGTTTGTGGAGTGAAGAGTTGTCGCAAGCCCCTCAAAAAAGGGAGAGCAACAAGTGCTGTGCTGCATATGGTGATCATCAGAGACTTGTGTCTTGTGCAGGGCAGAATCAATTCTCTCCTGTCACAAATCTATTTTTGTTGTTTCACCTTTGAAATTGATTTGTTGATACGTTGATTGATCAACCTCTTGTTGATATGCTATTCTACAAATTTAACTTCTCTTTCTCAAATTTGAGGTCAGCAAACTGCACTAGATTTCTGACTTTTTCAACCTTTATTGGAAAGCATTATTACACTTCCTTTTTCTCTTGCAGAACTGCCTGAAGAGAAAGAGAAAGTGAAGAAAGCAGCAGATCATTGTCGTCAGATCCTTAACCACGTGAACCAGGCTGTCAAAGAATCTGAGAACAAGCAGGTAGGAGGTGAACGGAGCAACTGTAAAAGAAGACACTTAAGAGTCTCTGTACTAGTGACTTCATATTATACTTAAAGATGTTTTTTGGCACAAGCGTTTTTGTGAGAGTAGGAATCCCAGGCATTCAGGAATGTGTGGAAGTGTTCATAACTGCCTGCACTCTGATGCTAGTGACTTTGACTAATCAAAGTGATCATCTTGATTGTGTTTTCTGCAGCATTTGGAAGATTATCAGCGTCGTCTTGACCTGTCCTACTTGAAGCAGTCTGAGGATCCCATGATGGATGAGTTCAGGGTGAGTGACCACATTAAAGCAATCTGTATGTAAATCATGATTGCAACCCTGTTGTTCAGTTTGTGACTTTCTGCTGCAGTCTTCTGATGTACAGTGAAATGGTCTTTGGAGATAATATTTCTATACAAAATTTAAAACAATTAGTCTCAGAAATCTGAGTTTCACTACCTCCCTGAAGATCTCTGTGGATGTAATGACTTGGTTCTGCACATAGAAGTGTTGATGAAGCTTGTAAATTCTGTGAAACAAATCTTAATGGTCTGCAAGGTAATGCCGTCCTGTATCACATGTGAGAGAGCTGGTGGACAATAAATCTTCATTATGGATATGTATCTCACATGATCGTATCTTAGGTATGCTGTTGGAAGTCAAGAGGCCTCAGAGAGCCATGAGGTGTAGCAATACAGTTAGCTTTAAAAGGAGAGCTTGCACACAGGCTGATTTGTATAGGACATCTATGGGTATAGCCAAATAAAGTCCCAGTCCAGTGCTAAAAGTACTGCCCTGTAAATTCTTGCAGTTACGTTAGTGAAGCTGGTTCCTTGCTGTCGACATCCTTTGAGCAGGAGTAACTTTATGAAATTTTCATATCTCGAGTGATGAGTACCAATGGGCACTTGCAACTTGAAACAAATCTTTTTTTTCTTTCACACCTGTTGCAAAGAGGTAGCTTCCACACAAGAACTCTTCTCCCTTTGCTTCTGCACCTTTTCCTCACGATTTGATACTTTATCCCCAGTTCTTAATTTTTGCCACTATCTATTTCTGTGTCTTGTATAGATTCTCCATTGTTTCTTTGTCACTCCCTGATCTTCTCCAAAGTCAGTGTGTATCCAAAGCAATTTTTGTATGACGACTTCTCTATAAAACCGAATCATGTAGCCTTCCCCAAATAAACTTGCAAGCATTTAGTTAGGAAATGAAGAACTCGCTGGCAGTTATGAAATCTTGCTGTCATTGATTGTAGACTCTACAACTTGGAAGGAATGACTTGTGAAAATTGTCACTTCTACTTGTCTGCAGATCTAAATGTCACAAGCACTGAAATGTCTGAAGAACGCATTGACATTATAAAGTCCATCAGATCATTGGAATGATTTGTATATCGTTTGTAGGCACACTTGACTTGCAAATCGAGTACTGAAGCATTGACTAGTTGTAATACTAGCACTGCAAATTTATAGGGGATATTGGAAAAACTCCTCCTAGAAATCAGATGACATCCTGATGCCTTACTAGCTTGACTTAGTAGGAAAATTCTCTACCCTGTGACCCCAGCATCTGCAGCAGTTGAATTAGGAAGAGTAATAGCAAACACCTCTCACGAGATTTTGGTTTACAAGCACGCCCTGCTCCTGCTCTACATTTCTTTTTCCAGACTGGGTTTAGCTGCTCATCTGCAAACTGGAGTTCCTATTCTAGCCTTCCCTCTGACGTTCCCATGCTTTATCATTACTCGCTTCCACAGAAGTTTCAGTACTACTTTTTTTGTTTCCTCTGGTGACAGAACTTGGATCTAACAAAGAGAAAAATGCTTCATGAAGGTCCTCTAACTTGGAAGGTGAATCGTGACAAAACTCTCGGTGAGTCCTGTTCTATCAACTGACTTAAAGGTGGGTTTGTATGTGTTTGCTGAGAAGGAGAGAAAGAGAAAGTATTTGTGCGGTTTTCAATTAGGATTCTTACTGCCACCTATAATAATGCCTGTGTGTTTCTCAGAGCTGATTAAATTATTCTTGTCAATTCTGAAATGTGCCAGAGTATCATTAAGGCCATGCAGGGACACAGCAGTCAGTCATGAGATGATCCAATTCCATCTGTAGCTTTCTGCTGTAGTTTTGATGAGGAAGATTTGCAAGCTCTGCCTAGAATGGCATAGCACTGATTACTGCCTCTGCATGAGTAATCAAAAATGCAGCCTCTTTCTTTCTGCAGGGGTGTGATATAAAGCTATGAATCTTTAACTCATTCCGGGTTCTTTTGCACTCTGTGCAGATCTCTATACTCTGCTTCTGGAGGACATCCTGGTGCTGTTGCAGAAACAAGATGATAAACTGGTACTGAAGTGTCACAGTAAAATCTTGGCATCGACAGCTGATAGTAAACACACCTTCAGTCCTATCATAAAATTGAACACCGTTCTGGTTCGTCAGGTGGCGACAGGTCAGTGTGACCCATGGAGAAAGCAAAAGAGGAAGCCAAAAATGAAGACTAGATCAGTTGAGGATAGATATTTTTGTCTAGAGTTCCAGAGAAGAACATGGGAAAATGTGTAGGCTTAATTCTTGGTTGTTCTGATACCTTGCTTTGTGTGTGTGAGCTGTTTAACTTCTTTGCATCAGTAATAGGCATAGCATGAGTTTTAAATAGACTTCTAAATTAAAGTATTCTGTATTAGATGAAAGCTACTCTATAAATTATTAGGAGGGAAGAGGAGAAATAAAATCTGTTTCAAAATGGTTTGGGCAGTAGTGGCTCTTTTCTTTCAGGACTACACTACAGAAACTTCCTCGATAGGGAAAAATCGATGTTTGTATATTAAAGTGTTGAAGGGTTATCTCATGTTGTTCTTTGATTGCTTCTGGTTGGGATTGTGCCTAGTTTTAGGAATTTTCAGAAAGCTATGTGGGACAAGGCGTCTATTTAAATTCTTCTCTCTCTGTGTTGCTTCAGATAACAAAGCTTTCTTCGTCATCTCCATGTCAGAAAACGGCGCTCATATTTATGAACTGGTGGCACAGACTGTTTCAGAAAAGAATGTGTAAGTAACTGGTTCAGCTCTGTCTGATTTGTTGTACTTGAGAGATTTTTTTACATCTGCTTGCCTGTAGTAACTCTAATCTTACTCAAAAACATAGCTATGTTGGCCCATGTAGGAAGTATCCAAGGATAGTCTCTCCAAACTTCCAAAGAGCAGGAGGAGGGTGTATACACGTATCTTAGTGAGTGAGAAAAAAACCCACCCAAACCACACATACACTCAGTGCTTCTGTTGTTGTTGCTTGCTGTTTGGCTCACTCCAACCCCTTTTCTGATGTCAAAAAAGCTTTTCTTTACCCTTGCAATTCTAGTCTTATGTGACTGGCTGCCAGATAAGTAACTGAAATAATTCTGCATCTTCATGCAGAACCAGTTAGTGTCAAGTGTTATACTAGCATCATAAGCACTCCAATGCATGGATTTGATTCCCTAGCTAAGTGCTTTTTCCTTTTTGGTAAAAATGCTTTTCTTCTAAAGTATAAGCAGGGCATAGACTTATTTGTATGATACACAGCAACACTTCTAGCGTGTCATATATGAAACTCTTTGGTAATATGTGAAATGTTACTTAATGCTTTCATATATATTTATATATAAAATAATGGCCTTACCTGACAGCTCCTGCTAAGGTCCTGTCATTCATTTCCTTCTGCTGAAGAATACCCTGATGAGGTGAGCATTGTGCTGTGCTGTTCTGCTTGTGGCTGCAAGATATGAATGAGGCATCGAATGTAATGGAATTAAAAAAAAAAAATAAATAGATATTTCTGTTAATAAGAAAAGCAGTAATAATATTAGCTGGATTTAAGAGGTGTTAAACAGAGAAATATTCATTATGCTTCATGTCTTGCATATTTTTATTTGATGTTTCTACTGCAGATGGCAGGACCTTATAGCTCAGATGGCAGGAACTGTAAAAATGGGGAGTACCGGAAGAGTGATTCCATTACCACCATCAGGACCTGGCGAGTAAGTAGAAGTAGCTGGAGGACAAAGGGCTAGTTTTTCTTCTTCCAGTACCCCTTCTTCTGCTCAAAGATTGCCAGCCAAAGCACTGATTCTCATGCAGCGATTCAGATACATGTGACTAAAAGAATGTGTTCATTCTTTCCTCCCCGCAGAGAAGAGCGTGAAGAAGAGGAGCAGCAGAAGCTCAAAGAGCAGCATGACATTCCTGCCAGTGGTCTACCAAGTCCAGGTAAAACAGTGCTCTGGGTAAATGGTATCAGTAAATTTGCTGCATGGAGTGCAAATGTGCCAAGCCATATTCCTTGTGGCTTATGGATCTTTTGGTAGCTTTGACGTTTTTCTGGAATTGAATGTTTTCTTTGCAAGTTATGTAGAGAAGTGATACTGAACCTCTTGGAAATGTACTTCTTATTATTTCAGTCTGTTTTATAAATTGCTAGGAAAGATTCTTTGGTCCCCTGGAAAGAATTGGTCTTTCACCTAGCCCGTGTGCAAGAACTGTATTTTGTAGTGTTTTCAGAGATTTCTGCGTGAAGCAGGATTTTCTGCAGTTTATCGTCATATTCGACATAGTTCTTTAACCTGAATGTATGTTTTCTGTTTACTAGATAAAGATTCGGGCGTCAAATCTCACTTAATAGTAAATGCTCAGTCTTCTTCACCTATGATGTCTGAAAAGTCCAAGGTAGAAAGTCTTCTTGTGTCAGAAAGACAATTTGGTAAAGTGCAGCAGGCAGACGTGACACTTAAAGATTCTTCTGCATGCTTTGAAGACACAACCACCAGTTTACCTTCATTATCAGAAGGGCAGTGGGCATTGGATGCATTAAGGAACTGTAAGTATCTGTGGACAGTGTCTGGTGGGATGTGTTTTGGAGGTGGAAAATTTTAGGTCAACCATCTAAATCAATGAGCTAAAATAAAGCCTAAAGCCCATTTCTGCTAAATACCAGTTCTCTCTGTGCTGTAGATCACAGCATAGCAAAACAAAATGGCTTTGACAACAAGGGATTCTAAGTTCTGAATTCATATACTGGCCATTTCTTTGGCTTTAGATATCTCATTGTTTTTTCTGTGGTTTTCCCATGTATAAAATGATGGCAGTAATGAATTGTTACTTTCTGTCCATGAAATACTTTGACAAAATCATATTGCAGAATTTTGTGCAGTGCTGTACAGTACCATTGCTAGTCAGCAGTTTTTTAAAAGACAATGTAGTTAGCCTGTGGATTTATTTTCGTAGCACTGGAGCAGAATAGGAGAAGTTGCATGAGTTGCAGAACATGATTTTGCATATTTTTTTATCCATTTATGCTTCGTCTTACAGGATTCAAAGTCCTTTTCTAATTCTGAATGCTGTACGAATGTTCTTGGTGCTTGTTTTCAGAGACCAGCAATAAAATAACCTTAGTCTGCGGGGTGTGTAAAGATAGTATTAGTGACCTGGCGTCTCGTGACTGTTCAGACTTAAAAGACCAACCCTCTAACAGCAGCAGTGGGTCACTCACATTGTGACAAGAGCCTTCCACTCATCTGAGTGACTGTTCTGTTGTATGAAATCGTAGCTTTTCTTGGGCGTTACACAAGCATTATGTGCTGAGAATGAACACTGTTCTTATGCTCTTGACAGTATCATATTTTTGTTTTGAACAATGTGTCCTTATTATGAAGCGTTTGGTTGGGATAATTTGAGAGCTAAAGGAATGTGGATTGAAGTTCAAATAGGCATATATTTGCATGACGTTTTTAGGGAAAATGTGTGTTCAGTTTTTTTGATCTGTCATTTCAGAGTTGAGGGGAGTATTCTCAATATGCTTGCTTCTCGGGTGGGAATCCTTTACTATGGCCATGGTTTTTAGTTCATTTGGGGGCATGGGTAAAACCTGGGCACTCACCTGCACTCCAGCTAACTTACTGGATAATTTCAGTAGATGATTTCTCTGTTTTTCCCTGAGCAAGATGGAACTTGCACTGACATGTTTGCTCTTGCTTGTAAGGTAAAATGTGGAGTAAGGCTTCAGACCTTACGTATTTATTTTTATCCCTGTTTTTCCTATTAAGAGCAATGAGAGGGCTGGCTGCTGTGAGATACGCCTTTTTGAAAGGCTGGCCTTTACGTCTAGTTTAATCACTGTTCGGGAGACTGTGCTCTGTGAAGCCTTGTGAACGTTTTCTCTACTTGCAGTGGGCTTGCTGAAGCAGTTGTTGGTACAACAGCTTGGTTTTTCTGAGAAGGGGACCCTGGAAGACCGGCAGCGCTTTCCTAGGTTTAGGACCGTTTCTCAAGAAGCACAAACGGAGAGTGGAAGTGAGCCTGGACTACAGCACTCTGACAATAACAAATGTCACCAGCCTGGAACAGACAGAACGCTTCTGAGAACCGGAGCTAGTGAGTCCACAGCTAGTTATGGCCTTCGGACTTCAGCTGAATCGCCAGCTTCAGGGGATGCTCTGCAGCTGATAGCGAGAGACCCCAGATCAAGTAGTAACTTAGCAAGAGACAACATGAGCATGAATCTGGAGATCTCAAACGCAGAGCTGGAAGGGGTGGGTGCTGATGAAAGCGGGGAGCATTTTTTTGATGCTCGAGAAGCTCACAGTGATGAAAATCCATCTGAAAGTGAACTAATGGAGAGGAAGGAGGAAGAGGATGTGCAAATACGGATCTCAGGTGAGCGTATTTCATTTACTCATTGCATGATAGTCTCTCCAGAGCCGCTATAAGGGACTCGAGTTCAGTTTTAAATAGAAGATACTAAAGAAAATCACAGTATGTTTTCCTCTCTTGCTTATCTGGTATAGAACATTTAAAGTTAACTCTCAGTCCTTGAGCCCTGAAATGGGCTGTGCAAACATGTACTTAATGAATTCTCCATTTTATGAAAGGAGAAGCTGAAATACTGTGGGGTTAATACACTGTGACAGACTGTAATTGCAGAGGTATGGGCACAATGCAAGCTCTTGATTGTGGTTGCCACTGGACCACTTTATCTCTCAACTGACTGTTGGGACCTTGTATGGAAAATGTTTTCCCTGAAGGCAAAGCACTTCCTTAGCCTGTACAAACAGAGCCTCCATGACTTATGCTATTTTGTAGATACTGTGTTGGCTTCTCCTGATCAAACTTGAGAAAAGGAACTTAGTTTAGCATTGCACTGTAATTGTCTCCTGCGACCTCACCCCAGTCTGAAGCTCTTAAAAGCTTATTATTTTTGTTATTTCTATTATTATTACTACATATGCTATATTTGGCAGTTACCTGAGCAGCATCTCAAAGTAGATCTCTTCTAGCCTTCAAGAAGGTTGTAGAGCTGTTAACTCAGCAGAAAACTAGCTCTAAGACAGCAAGTGTGAGCACTTTCGTGGGACTTTGTGTTTGTAAAGCCCCGTGATTTTGATCAGCCGACACAGTGACGCTGCACTAAATTTTGCACACAAGTTGAGGTTTATCTCATGTGCATGTTGTAGGAAAAGTAGCTGCTAGTAGGTAGATTCTGTATGATTACTAGTCTTGAAATCTGTTATCCATAAATATGCTTTTATTTAAAGCATATTTAAATATATTTACTGGATTCTATCAATGTGAATAAGCCCATTTGTGACTGACTGAATGCTGCCTTACAACTACATATTGAAAATAATTTTTCTTTCTCTGAATTACTGAGACATTTTAAATTATTAAAACTGAGCCAACAACTTGAAGCATCTAATTTATTTGTCACCTCTTATGCTGTTTACTTTCTTAACTGTGCAGGGACATCAAAATTAGATCGACCTGGTTTTAGTCAATTCTGACTCCACTTGCTAGCTTTGCTGTAATACTGTAGAGAAATTATTTAATATAATCCTATTGCTAGATGCAGGTTGTGAAAGCATTTCTGTCTAGAATTGCTTCATCTTTTAACATATCATCAGCAAGCTAAGCTTTAAAGCTAACCCATCTGAAAGCATCCTCAGTACCTTAGCTAGTAAGTGGAAGTTAGAAATCTAGCAGTCTGATTTGTTGGGTGCCATTAGTGTAAGTGCAGGTTTTTCAGACGTTATAACAGAAACATAGATTTTGGAAAAACAGGAAGATAGGCTGATTAGCTCATCTGATCATGTAATTCTCATACTGCAGTCCAAAAACCAGCCATGATCTCTGAAGCCCAATTCAGAACCAAACTAGTCTGGTCTGATATAGTCACTATTCTGTGTAGTGTTCACAAATGCTTTTTCTTAACCATGTTAAAATGTCTTGGGAGATGGGCCTCTCACTACTTATCTTTCTTAAAGTCTGCTTAAACTGCCTACAGTTCAGTGGTTCTTGGTGATTATTGAGCTGGAGGTGTTGCTAAAAAGCTGTTCTCTTAACAGGAAATTATTTGATCCTTGATGGATATGGAACAGTGCAGGAGAGCTCCACAGACGACGAGATATCGTCTCTAGTTCTCCAGTGCACTGCAGGTGGCCACACTTATTTGGACTCTGCGCCGCAGCAGCCACTTTCTCTCCGGGACACGCAGTCAGATGGAGGAGGCTCCCCGTTTGCTGAGGAGATGTTGGCTTCACGCTGGGGCGGACTGGAAGAGTCCTGCTCATTTGTAGCAAGCCCTCGCTTCTCTTCAGAGTCACGTTTGCAGATGATGCAGTATATTCAGAAGATAGAAGATGACCTTGAAAAGTTAAAGGTATGCTATGTTTCTGTTTGCAGTATCAGGGTTTTCATATTCCTTGGCTTTTGTTTTATAAGAAAACTTGAAAATAATTTTGAGTGACAAGAAAGACAATCATGCCTTTTTTTGTCTTTGGCTCTTACCTCTGGAAGTTTTTGAAGCAGAAACTTGGTGCTGTTTAGCTTGCATTAAGTTGTGGGTTACGAGAGGCGAGTAGTTCTGCTAGAGCTAGCGGGTATGTGTGTTGCTTTGGTTTGAATTTGGAGAGATTCCTGAGGGATAGGACAAAACTGATGCAACTTTGCAACAATGGAGTTTTGAAGGGGCCACTGGCCTAAGGAATATGAATTCCCGACATAAAAAGACTTATCAAATCCGTTGCATACTGCTGCTAATGTCAAACGAAGGCACTAAGTTGCAGTATACCAAATAACGGTTTTCAGCCTCACTATATTCAAAATGATTTTTCGTATGTGATGGGGATTCTCTATACATAATAGTCATGGCTGTAGAAGGTTTATAGCATCTCGATGTGTGAGACATACCAACACGTTAAGTCAGTAGCCAGCCTTTAATTTAATGGAAATCTGAAAAGCAAGTGGAATATTGCATGCGTATGGAAGGCCTGATAAAGATGGTGGTAAAGGAGTTAAGATCCATTGTGGGCCGTTGTGCAACATGGGTGATTCCAGTCCACTCACCTGCAGTGAAACTTTTCTTTTCTTATATGAAGCGCTCTTTGTTCCCTTGGTAAATAGAGAAACAGCTGTTTGAGTTTTGGGTTTGTTTTTGGTTTTTAGGAGGTTGAAGAAGACTACACCATTCTCCGACGCCAAGGGCTGGCTGGATCAGCCTCCACAGGAGAGCACTCAGGTACACAACCAGACTGCCTATAATTGGAAGCATATACCACGTTAGCTTCAGACATTAAACAAAGAGCACAAAGTCAATTATTGATGTTTCTCACACACACAAAAAAGGTTTCACCTACTGCAGCAGCTCTCGTAGGGCTGAGACCAAGCTGATTCTAAGAAAGGTCAGTTGAATCCATTGAGACTGTCATGTGCAGAGGAGCTTGTTCCTTCCTCTGAAAAGGTTGTTTGCAAGCTGTCTCACCCCTACCTGCCAAAGTCCTGCATCTCAGGGTGTACAGCTTCACTTTCAAAGAAGATTAGATTGATGTAGAGTCCCGAAGGAAGATTTCTGAACGTGTGAGATGATTACAATCTGTCTCTTCTTTCTCTGGGATGTCTCTGATACTGTATAAACTGGTTGCCATAGGCCCCTTTAAATTGACCTTAGGCATCCTAGAGATGTAAATGCTGGAATTGCTAACAAAGGTCTTAAGGTTAAATGGGCATGCTGTCTCTCACATAACATGCTTTCTCTGCTAGTACTGATGTTCAGAAATGTTAGGCATTCATCTCTCATTGCACCCCCAATCTCTCACCACCCTCTGTTCTTTTTTTCTTACCTCCTTCAGACAAAAGCTAGTCATGTATTCAGGAGTGGCTGAAGATTGGATGAAGAGCATCAGGACACAGCACCCGCTGTCTTACTTGTGGACTCTGAGACAAGATGGTTTGGACTATCAAACGTGAACCATACTTTAGCAAAGTGGGCATGGGGTGCTTTTCCTGTGGGGCATCTGCACTATCTTGTCAGTGAGGAAGTCTATTCTATTCTGCTCCTTTCCTTGCTTCCAGAAATCCATTTTTCAGAACAGAAAACCAAACCAAATGTACAGAGCTTTGGGTGTAGGATATAAAAATGTATTTAGACATTTAAAAAAAAATCAATGTATTTATTTGACTTCATTCCGTGTATCAAAAGCACATTTTAATTTTTTAATCTGCATTTTTTGTTCTATTTTAATTGGGTAGTGACAGCTCTAGCCCTCTGCATGTAGTACACCCTGCCTGCCACTGCTCCTGAACCAAAAGTCAGGTCTGAAGGGAGAGGGTGTGCCTATGTTGGGTGTATCTTTACTTCATTGGACTGGACTCTGCCCTCCCTGCTGGCAATCAAACTGCCATGCGAAGAGCTACTTATGAAGGTGTTAGGATGACTTGTGGCTGGAACTATCTGTATTCAACAATTGCATGGGAACTGCTCATGTCACCACATGTGTAACAAGAATTTTCCATGCACTAAATAGCCAGGCACTTGAGATGGGCAAATTTTCTTTCTCCACTCTCCCATTAAGGGTCTCCTTTGTTGACATGCAAGATTAGGCTGGGAGAGGAAAAAGATAGGTTTAGTATTTTTCTTGATTTTGTTGGCTTTGATCATTGTCTCCTTTGTAAAGTGATAAAAATACTTGGACCTGCAGCACTTTTGTAACTCTTCTCTGGATCAAAAAGAAAAAATGCAAACCCAGAAGTGTTTCAAAGATGTGGGGCAGATCTGCCCCTGATTCACTACTGAATGAATAAGGGCTGCCGTTTGAGTTAGCCACAGGTACTGCTGATTATAGGGCCAGTAAGTTTTAGTACCTGAAAGTATATCTTGCTGAGGGCTTGGGGTGGGTTTTGGGGTTTTTTGGGGGGGATTGGGTTGGTTTTTGGTTTGTGGGTTGTGGTTTTGGTTTGTGTTTTTTTTTTTTTTTTTAAACTGATTTGTGCCAATGTATTCTCACTGAAACAGAGATGTGCAAAACAAAGAAGGCTGAAACAGCTCTCCAGTATTTCCTTAGGCCTGTTCTAATGGGTTTTGCTGTTGGAATTCCTTCCAGTCTGGGAACAAGATGGTAACTGTCAGGCTACCAGCAGAACTAACACTGGACAACCTAAGCTGGCTGTGCCCCTGCTCTGAAGTTGGTCCTAGGACAGGCACTACCTGCTTGGCATAGGGTGGTTCAAGCTGTACCCGGTATTACAGACACCATGAATACAACCACTAGTGGAAAGTGAGTAAGGCAGTCTTTTTTGCACCCTCTTCCCAAGTTTTAAACCATTTAATGAACCCAAACTGAACGGCATGCCAAACCTGTAAATCCCATTAACATGTCAGAACTGTTATAGCATTGCTCGCATAACTGCATGCATCACGAAGTGCTGAGAATCTGTCTTTGGTCAGCATAAAGATCCTACTCCCTGCTTCTTTAAAACAAATGTCTTGTCTTTAGCTACTGGCAAGAAGTCAGATCTGTCCTTTGTCTACTCGCTTAGGAAGAAAACACTTCTGGTTCTTCCTGTTAGAAACATGCAAGGGATAAGCTCATGTAAAGATTGACAGAGGTTGAGCAGGGATGATTTTGGGCCTGATGTGAAAGTTAGAGCCACGAGCCCTTGTAGAGTGGGGAGGAGTTTCTCTTGTTTTGAGAGCCAATTGCACAAAGTGTAATTTTTCACCAGCGGAGCATTACACTGCCAACACAAGCCAAAGTGTTCTCTTCCAGGCTGGCAGGAGCTTCCTCTTCCTTGGGACCCACTAAGGCCTGTCCTGTTGCACCTGTATGAGAATACTGTCAGTATTAGCCAAGCACTTCCGTTCTTAGTGGGTGGGATCGCCCCTCCTCACCTTCAGCCGTATGATTCCTTTCGTTATAAATATCTAGACTTCCTCTGAGAAGCCCCAAAACTAGGATGCTGCCTCATGCTGATGTGGCATCTTTTACCTGATCCTTCCAGAAAGAGAACTGGGCTATAGCCAGACTTGGTGTTTGATGCCCTTTTCCTCTTAAATAAAAGGACCTTTGTTCTCCCCCCAACTCCCTTTTGTCAGTTGGCATGATGCTTGCCTGGGTCTACACACTCCAGAAAGAGGAGCAGTTGTTATGACCTTAGGTGTCTAAAAGCTTTCCAGCAGGCTTCCATGGTTGATTGAAAATTACCACTGACTCTATTAGAGGGAGCTTATTGTGGCTTTTCAAGAGTATACTGGGAGACCAGCAAAAATGGGACCTATGAAGGCCTGGTTGCTTAATGCTCTTTCCTTGTGACTGAAGACAAAATCCTTGGTTCTCTGGTTTTCTCCAAGTTGCATGAATTTCAAGGTTCCTGGTGAGCAACATACTGCACGAGAAGCATATAGCTGTTTGGATAGGTCATGGGGGAGCAGCCTGCCCATGCTCCCTCTTGACTTTTTCACCTTTGCATAAGCATTTTGTAGCATCATCCACCACTATATTATTTCATCTCTAATAGATGTAGCAGCAGTGAAAAAGCTGGGATTGCAAAGTATTTATGTTGCCATGCCATCCTTACATTTCTGCCTCCAGAGCTGCTGGAGTGGAATTTTCCCCATCATCTCGTAATGCTACCTTGGACATAATCCACTGGGAGGTCAGGTGCAGTTCTGTCTCTGTCACCTCTCAAGAATTATAAGGGGAAATGTCCACACTTTCTGCCAGGCTAATGATGATGGCAGAGAAGCTTTTGTTCAAGATAAAACGGACATTCTCCAGAGCAGAAGATTGCAGGGAGTCTTAAGGAATGTTAGAGAAGACCAACCCATTTGATCCCAGTTTTTATGGGCAATATGAATAACACACTGTGCTCTGTCCTGTTTGGGTTTTTTTTTGTTTCAGCTGGCCACCTTATGCTACATTGATCATCCTCACAAATAGGGCATTACTCCTCTAGAAAAAGAATGGTGGGGTCAGGAATCCGTTGTCTTCAGAGAGCAGTAACCTGAAATAATGAGGGATTCCTTTTTCCTCTCTAGCACATCTGCTGTATGGCAGACCTCAGGCCGCATCTCGCTGTGTGAAAGGAGCTGGGACTCAAATGCACTATGCAGGATTCTCACTTCCCCCCCGCCCCCCACCCCCTTAAGCCATAAGATTACCCTTTTTAAAAATTCCAGTTTGCAGTGTAAGGCAGCATTTTAATTTGCCCCAAGTTGGTGATTGATTGATTGTACATTCCCTTATCCAGACTGGATAGCAGAGCAGGACAATGTTCTTCGGTTTATTTGCCCCAGCCCCTGCTCCCCAATGTTTGTTTGTGTGGGTTTTTTGTTTGATTTTTTTTTTTTTTTTTTTCCCTCCTTCCCCAAATACAAGATGAGCAAGGCTTTCTTATCTTGGGAACAAAGAGGCCGTATAGCAACAATTCTTTCATATCCTTCTGCGAAGTGATTTCTCTCCTGCTGTTACGTGATACAGTTCAGGGACAAGCAAAAAAGTCAGATGGGTTCTTTCTGGAAAGTGGAATTTCCTTCTCCTGTAGAAGCACAAATGCTAAGCCAGTGTTTGATCACTCTGGTTTCTTGAACATACTTTGTCTGTAGGGAGGAGAGACTTTTTATAACATCCTATAGATGGGATCAGAAAGAAGGATGAAGAATGTAAACCTCAAGAACTAAGTCTAGATGGTTTTGGTCAGCTTTCAGACAGCACTACGCCTGTTTCCAGTGTTTTCATAAAACTTGCACATTCTGATTTACACATACTGCCCCGGTTATTAGAAGAGGGGTCTGATGCTTTAGCAGGTGACCCTTGATTATAATCTCAGTGCTTGATGGTATCTGGTGTCATTTTGTCCCTCCTGTTCCCCAAAGAAATCCCTTAATTCCCTCCCCCTCCCCCAAAGGTGCCAACTGACAAGCAGATGTACTGCAAAAGGGATACTGCAGCCAAAACACTGCTGTTTTATTTTGAATTAAGTCTTGTGGAGCTCTCTTCATACTAGAATATTTTTATTTTCTTTGTACAACATACAATCATGTACTCTTAACAGAGATTTACTTTAAAGAGAAGAAAAAAATCTGGAAGTATTCTTTAAAAAAATACACAAAAATCTTTATTAATAATCCTGTATTTTTACTGATCATGTTTGAATGTCTAAAAAGACTTTATTGTTCTAATTATCCAGATGTATGTTTGTAAAATAGCTCTTTTATGACTTAGCTGATAAGGTTGTATGTTTCTGGAATTAAATATTGGTCACTTAAAAAAAAAAATCTGTTTTCAAGATCTCGGAAATAGAAAATTTAAGCGTTTCAAATATCATTAAATAAGCTTAAAGGAAATAAATGTTGTGTTGTCTGCTGGATTTTTTTAAGGGGTCGTTTTGCTTTAACTGCCTGGAGCTTTTGGCAGGACGAACTGTCTTGATCAGCAAAGGAAGCTTTCATTTGGTACAAATGACCTTTCAGAATCTATTGTTGCTGTTGCAAATGTGGAACCCCCAATTGTCCCATTTAACACAATTCTTATTGATCAGTCTCAGTCGCTCTTGAGGAGAGAGCGAGAGCCTCCCACCAGCGGCAGTGGAGATGCCCTCCTGTGGGCTCTGCCTGTGCCCAGCTGACTGCAAAGTGAGCAAAAATGCTGCTTTTATTGTCTGCTCAAGGGAAAAAGGTCTTGCAGGTCCGAGCACTGACAGCTTCCCCTCCTGCTGTGCTGTCTCCTGCTAGTTTCAGGGGAAACGTGTGGGCTGCTTGAGCAGCTTTGGTTCTAGTTGATGAGTTCGCTCTGACTGTCCGTATCTCATCCCCATCCTAACCTTGTGACTAAACAGTGCAAGAAATGGATGTTTCTGGCCTCAGCAGTTGCTGCTTAAGGAGCTGCTTCAAGCAGTGTTTCTCATTTTGTGTGTCTTCTCCAAAGTTTGGTGCCCAAGATGATCCTTTAAAAAAGAAAAACACCCATGGAGGAAAAAAAAACCATACAACAGACATATAATAATCTCAAGAGAAATGAATCAAGTCATAAAAATTCTGACATTGAAGGCACTGGGTTCAGACTTTCACAGATGCTTTTAAGCACCTTGACCAAATTTCTGCTGGTCAGAGTGAGGTAGTGAATATCTAGTCTTACTCTTTCAGGAGGCACGTTTGACTAGA